GAGGAGGATGGCGTCTCGCTGTTCCTGGGGGAGTTGCTTTCCGACCCTGAGAACCCGCTCCGGCCGGGAGGTATCCAGAGGGATTTCCTCGACCTCCTCGGCCGGCTCTGCATGTGGCCTCTCCTCGTCCATGGCGACGGCGGTCGTGATGGTGTCTATCCGCTGTCCTTCCCTTTCGACCGGCCTCGTCAGCTTGAGGTAACAAGCTCTGGCTATCCTCTGGTTTCCTCTGGCGTAGCCGATGCCGTCATTGGTGGGAAACTTCAAGCATAGGTGCTTCATGGAGATGATAGCCTCCAAGTCCTCCAGCGCTGGCCGGCCCAAGATCAGGTTGTGGGCGCACTGGAGGTTGACCACCATGAACTCCATGTCAATTTTGGCATGGTGGGGGCCGTCACCGACTTCCACGGGGAGGACTATCGTGCCCTCGGCATCGATAGAGTCCCCGGTGAAGCCGGATAACGGGGTCTTGATCGGCTTCAACAGAGCTCTGTCCAGCTTCAGCTGCTTGAAGGTGTCTAGGTACATCACGTTGACAGAGCTCCCCGTATCGATGTAAGTACGGTGGATGATGGAGTCACCGATCTCACATCGGATGACGAGGGCGTCCCTGTGTGACTCCGTACCCGGAGGCAGATCCTTGTTGGTGAAGATGATCGCCTCCGTTCGCTGCTTCTTCAGCTGGGGGGGAACGTGGGACACCTCTCCAATGTAAAGGGATTGGGCCCATTTCTTTCTCTGAGTGGCGGAGTCCCCCCCAGTGTTCCCGCCTACGATGAGGTGGATGTGATTCTTCTTCGGCGGAGGCTCCTCGAAGTCCTCGTCGTCGCTGAGCCTACCAATCTCGCGCTTCTTCGCAGAGGGTTCGCCCCCACGTTTGCCGGTGTTTACCCAAGTGTTTTTACGTGGGCCACCTTTGACAAACTGGGAGAGTTCCCCCTGGCGAATAAGGCGCTCGATGGCCTTCTTCAATGTGATGCAATCGTCGGTGTTGTGCGACGAGTTCTTGTGGAACCGGCAATACGTGCCACCCTGTTGGATGGCCAGGACCTCCTCGGCCGGCCGAGGAGCCTGCTCGATGAGGCCGTGCTTCTCGGCATAATCGAGGATGGTGCCGACTGGGTGGGTGAGGGCTACCCCCGGCCGTTCCAGCCTCGGCCGCCAGTGGCGGTCTTTCTTACTTTGTCCACCAGAGCCGTGGCGGCCCTGGGCACCCTGGCCGGCCGGGGACGGACCCGAGGCCGGCGAAGGATTTGTCTTCTTGGGGGGATGGCCCCCCTCTCTCTTGTGATTGTGGAGCTCGTCGGCGTCGGCATACAAGCCTCCGCGTTGGAGCGCCTTGGCGTACGACCTCGGGGGGTCAGTGATGAGGCTCCTGGCGTACGGGGAGCTGCGGAGGGCTCCCTGGTACAAGGCGAGGAGGGTACGCTCATCGGCCCCCTCGACCTCCTCTTTCTCCCTCGTCCACCGGTCGATGAATGACCGGAGGGACTCCTCGTGCTGCTGTTTGACGGAGAGGAGGTGGGTGAAATACTTCTTGGCGCGCTTCCTTCCGGCAAAGTGAGTGAGGAAGCGCTGGGCGAGATCTTGCCATGAGTCGATGCTTCCCTCTGGCAGTCCGTTGAACCACTCGTACGCTGGCCCCTCGAGAGTAGAGAGGAACCAACGGCAGAGGTATTCGTCGGACGCGTTCACCATCAGCATGTTGTTTTGATAGCGGCTGAAGTGCTCCTGGGGGTCTGATCGGCCATCGTAGGACTTGATGGCGTTCCCCCTGTACTTCTCAGGGATGGGGGCCGAGAGGACCCTGTTGGTGAAAGGGGTCCTAGTTCTGACCTGGATGATGGGGTCACCCCGCCCTTCGGCCAGCTCCCTCTCCAGGGCGCTGACTTTGTTCATGAGCGCGTTGAGGCCGGGGTCGTTGGAGGCGCCGGCCGTAGGGACGTTGGCCGACTGCTTGGCCTCCATCTGAGCCAACCTCCTTTCCAGCTGGGCGATGACCTCGTCCCGGGGGTCCCTATCGGCCGCAGCGGCGCCCGGCTGGTTCCTCAGGCGCTCGTTGTGAGCCGCGTTGATCTGGTGACGCGCGTCATCCTCGCGCAACTTCCCCTTGCCCTTGTCCGGGCGGGGCTGGTCCACTGTCCGGGACACAGACCCCAAACTCTCCCTTGGCGAGCCAGGACGAAGATCACCAATCCGTCCCGCCATCCTCTCCGAAACCGGACGACGGCGCGTGTCACCTAGCCTATTAAAGGCAGAGGCTTTTCCACGCGCTGGGGTCTGCCCGGGCCGAAGAGGGGAAGCAGGGTGGGAGTGGGATGACGCCGTGTCCTGGGCCACAACCCCCTCATTGTTGCCTATCTGGTCGGCCAGTGGTTGGGGATGAGGAGGTGGAGTGACGTTTCCCCCGGTCCTTGGCAAGAGTGCGCTGAGGACGGTGGGATTCTGAGCCAAGCTGGCGATGATGACCGATAGTGCGGCCTGGACCTGAGGATCTACGGACGGAGAGGCCGCGGCCATAGGCTGGGCCAGGGCGTGGTCCGCTTTCTCAGCTCGTTTCTTGTCCAAGCCGAGGCGGGCATCAGGGGCGCCGCCGTCGAGTTGGTTGCGGAGGTCCGTTGTGAGGTTGAAGGCCTCCTGGAAGAGGTCCCCTCCACCGACCTGGTCGGCCGTGGCGTCCTCATCGTGCTCCCTGGGCTCTTGGTCCTCAGGGATGGCTTTGCTGACGAGGTTGCGGTTTGACTTAGTTCTCCCCATGATCAGTGGTTAGTTGTGCTTGGTAGCGACGAAGGGTGTTAACTTGATTGTTCTAGCTCTCAACGAGAGCACCAAATGATAGAGTATTAACTCCTAGATTCTAGAGAGAAGTGAGAGCTAGAGAGAGAAGTGCAATAGTATGCTTCAATAGAATGATTTTGTAACCCCTATAACTACTCCCAAGGGGAGTATTTATAGGGAAAATTAGGGTTGGGCTCCCAAGCCTTGGGCTTGGGAGGCCCATTTACAACTGGACCGCTACTGGGCCGGATACAAAGCCACTAATGGGCTGTACAAATGAGTAAGTATATGATCCGATTCTGGGAGGTCCTCGTGGCCGACGAGGGCGTGGCCGACGGGGGCACCCGGGTTCCTTGGACTCAGGATCATAATCCGGGTTGGCTTCTTCTCGGCCGACGGGGGCGTCTTGGCCGATGAGGGCGCCACTCTGTTGTCTTGTGCTCTGTTCTTCCGAGTATGTGGGTCCTGGGGCTCAGACCCATATACTCCATCACTAAGATATTTAGATCAGGGGAATTAGGTGGCTGACATACCAATTGCATATCCCCCCCATCCATTCTACCAGCAACCTTAAAAGCTTCATCATTCATACCAATGTGAGGCTTTGCATTGTCTTGTTGTATCCATACAGTTTTACATGCATTAGGGGGGCATTTTTCTTTGATAGATGGAATCAAAACTGTAAGAAATGCATTTCTGATGACTTCCTTTGTGATGGATGTGGTTGCCTTAATATCTAGTGTGCCTGCAAGTCTGTTTTTGCTCTTTCTCTTTGCTGCCACTGATTCTGTAAAAGGTAATGTTCCAATTTTTCCATCCCATATAATTGATCCATCATCATGGATCCATGGTCTAGCAATGGCTGCCAGAAACATGACCTTGTTGATAAATCTTTTACTTTGATAGCTTCTATGAGGATCCTCCTTTGAGGGTAAAAGATAATATCGTTGAGTAACTTGGCTCATAAAGAACCACTTCTCATCCACATGTATGACATTGAACATTTTTGTAAACTGTGGAGGTTGAGTGATGCTTCTTGGAATAATGTGACACATTGACCACTTTAATCTCTCCAGTTTGTTGTTGTCGTTCAAAGCAGGCTTTATTGCATTTGTGTGTGCTCTTATTATACCACTACTTAGTAACTTATGGACTTTGGAAACACTGACCCCTAGAGAAGCTACCAAGCTTCTTAGGGTGGTCCTGTTGCTTTTTGGAATGGCACGTATGTGTTGAATATCAATAGGTATCATTTTCCTGCCACAGTTCCCTTTCTTTTTACCATTCGTGTTTATCTCCGAACCTTGTTCAACTTGTTTTTTTTGTTGTTGCCCAGATTCTACCAACTGTTTTGGTGCAAACATTGTAGGTACTGGCAACTTCTTTAATTACTCCTCTCTTACAAGTCAACATTTTTGTGTCACAACACTGATTTGACTTTGATAACAAATCTTCTGCTATTATCCTTCTTTTTGTCTTTGTGATTGATATACATGGTTTTGCAGGTACATTACCTTCTGTGTTTGGTTCTGTGTTCTCATCAAATGGGGTGTCATCTTCAGAATCTGCAGCACCTTCATCTGCTTCAGCTCGGACCCCTAGCTCAATAAGCATCATCTCTTCTGGAGGAATACAATCATAACCTGCTCCACTCATCTCAAAAACAGATCTGCTAGAAAAAAGGTGCGGACAAGGCTGCAGTGACTTTGTTCTTTTGATGCGGAAGATGTGCAGAAAAGTTGTTTGTATTGTTGTGTTGCTATTTTTGGATAGAAGTGTAAAAAAAGACAACCTTTTGTATTCATAGTGGGTGTTGTATAGGGCATGATTTGGAGGGAAATGTTCTTTTCCACATGTATTGGGCGACAATAGGAAATGAGTGTCGTATGACCTTTTGTGCGCAACACTCATTGTTATTTGTACGGATGAGTGCTTTCAAACACTCCCTTTCCTTTGTTTTTTTTAATGTTTTTCTCTTTCCTTTCCTCCTCCACTACATTTATTAATCTACTCTCTTTTCTACTTTTCCATTTAATCACATCTCACTACACTTTTTACTTTACCCCTATTATTTTGTTATTAAATCACGTGTCAAAGGTTAGCGGGATAGATATTTAAGAAAGGAGGGAGTATTACATTTTAATTAAATTTAGGCCCCACCTGCGATCAGCCTCTGATCATGTGTTAATTAGTTAGCAGATTATGTGCTGGGTAAATGTATACTTTGCACACCCTATAATGGTGGATGGGATTGCACAGTAGTGAAGAGAAAAATCATAAGCCAGCCGACAGGCAATTGAAGGCAACTCGGCGACTCTCTTTATGCGTAATCCTGCCAACCGTGGATATATTATACGGAGTATTTTTTTATTCACTTTACAGGTCTATCTGCAAAAGCTGTATCCAATGCCATGAACATTTGAGAGTGGACTCGTCACTAGACGGGAGCAATGCGTTATGGAGTCCGGGAATCTCATAACTGAAATTTGGAGACCCAGAATGCCAAAAACTTCATAACTGAAATCCACCTATTCATTTTCATGCTGGCCTGCAGTTGCAGATGTCTTCCTTGTCTCAGGTTATTCGTTCATGTACTAAGAAGAATTCCATTGTTAGTGGCAAAGCAGCCCATGCCAGGCTCATCATTTCTGGGTCAAAACCTGATGTCCATACAAACAATCACCTGCTCACGATGTATTTAACATTCCATGAAATTGAAATCGCCCATAAGCTACTCGACCAAATGCCCGAACGAAGCATAGTGACGTGGACAACATTTATTTCTGCTTATTCTCATATCGGTATGCCTGAAAAAGCTTTAGGGTGCTTCCGAAAAATGGTTCTTGAAGATGGGTTTGCTCCAAACCATTATACTTACGTGGGTGTGTTATCTGCTTGCAGTAGCTTGGGGGCTGCGAGAACTGGGAAAGAAATCCATGCGAGGATATTCAGAGCTGACAAGTTGTTTAATAGCTTTGTAAGCAACTGTTTGGTTAATTTTTATGGGAAATGTGGGCTCTTGAAGTCTGCTCGGTTTGTGTTTGATGCTATCCTGGAGCCAAATACAGTAACTTGGGCCTCACTTCTTTCATGTCATTGCCAATGTGGGGAGTATGAAGAGGGACTGAGGATTTTCCTGAAGGCATTGAGAGAGGGAGTGCTGGTTAATGAATTCATATGTGGGAGTGCTCTGGTTGCTTGTGCTGCAATGGAGTGTCTTTGGCTTGGAATAGAAATTCATTGCCTGATCGTGAAATGTGGTGTCAAAATGGATCAGTATATCATCACTGGGTTGGTCAATTTTTATGTAAAGTGTGGCCAACTAGGCTTGGCACGTAAGGCTTTTAATACAGAAGGTGCTCCTGATTTGCATGCTTGGACTGCCTTGATCGGAGGTTTTGTGCATCTAGGGAAGAGCAGGGAGGCTGTTGATCTTTTTTGCAGTTTGCTTTCTTCAGGCATGAAGCCAAGTGAAAGAACATACGCATCAGTCCTTGGGACTTTTGCCGTTACAGAGGAATCTCAAGCCGGAAAACAACTTCACTCTTCCATCATAAAATATGGATTTAATTCGTTCACCTTTGTTTGCAATGCCTTGGTTGATTTTTACTCAAAGAACAATCTGATTGATGAGTCATTGAAGATTTTTCAAGAAATGACTGAATATGACATTGTTACTTGGAACACATTTTTAGCCGGATATATACGCTCCGGTCATTATGACCAAGCTATAAAGATCCTCCAAAAGATGTTGTTTGAGGTGGGGCTCATACCTAATCTGCATACGTACTCTTCCATATTGAGCATATGTGGGGAGTTGCCAGCCGTAGAATGGGGCAAGCAAGTTCATTGCCGCAGTTTGAAGCCCCGTTTTGATTCCAATGTGGTTGTAGGAAGCGCCCTGATTGACATGTATGCTAAATGTGGACGGTTGGACGATGCACGGAAAGTTTTTGATATATTGCCTTGTAAAAACTTGGTATCTTGGAACACTATGCTCGTCGGTTATGCGCATCATGGATTTGGGTTAGAAGCTTTGGAGGTTTATAGTTTGATGCAAGAAAATGGGGTTAATCCTAATGATATTACTTTTATTGGAGTACTATGTGCTTGTGGACATGGAGGGCTTTTAGAAGAGGGATTAGACCACTTCAATAGCATGAGAACGAAGTATGGAATCACTCCAAGGACAGAGCACTTAGCTTGCATGGTCAATTTATTTGCACGTAAAGGACATATAAGAAGAGCGTATGATTTCATTATGAACTTTTCTGGGAAACCAGATAAGGTGGTTTGGCGTTGTCTTTTGTCAGGATGCTTCACAAATAACGACTATATTCTGGGGAGCTCCGCCGCGAAGGAGATTTTAAAAATTGATCCAAATGATGCATCGGCCCACATTATGTTGTCTAATATTTATGCGAGGTTGAACATGTGGGATGAAGCAGCCGAGATGAGAAAAATTATGAAAAAGAAAGAACTAAAGAAGGAAACTGGGTATAGTTGGATGGAATTTGAGAACAAGATGTATTCTTTTTCTTCAAGGCAGAATATGGATGAAGGGTTTACAATGGCTCCAGTGGGTAGGTAAGAAGGTTATGAACTGTAATTGAATATGGCTTCTTTAGGCTAAAGAGAAATAATCAGTTTATAGTTCAAGAAGTGAAAGATGACTAAAAGTTAATTCGAGATAGAATTAATTTACATATTTTGGTTCAATTAATGGTTTGAACAATGAAATCAAATCTTAATTGGTTTGTTCACAAGTAACTTAATTCTAATCCAGGTTGAAAGTTCCACAATTATTGGGTGAAATTATTGAATAATGCATTCCAGCTATCAAAGAAGATGGGAAAGAAAGGATCAAGCACAACCTGGCACAATTCAAATGGGAGGAAACAGAACCATGTTAATGCCAGTTTGGGCCAGTGGTAAGACATCCATACCCTCTTTAGGTGGCTTTTGTGGCATGTGTTTAGCTGCCTGCTCAGAGACCTTGGATTGCCGTCTGACCCATCTTTGTTCGCTTGTCATAGGTTTCACTTTGCTTACTCCCAATGTTCCTAATAACTTTCATGCATGAACTTTCTATAGATCCACTAATTATATAATGGAAAATGACTTCAAACAATACCAAGTATTGACTATAAACTTAAAATAATCCGAATTTTAGATTTTTTATTCCATTTTTTATAATTTATAGCAAAATAATTTCAATATATACCGGAAATAATTCGAGCATATACTTCTGTAAGAATTTCAGCTAATGCGGTGACATAAGTAAATCCAACTGTTGCGTACATAAAAAGTAATTCTACCTCCGTCCCACTAAGATTGAGACATGAGGAAGTGGCGTGATTATATTATAACATATATTAATATAGTTGGGATGATTTAGTTCAAGTTCTACACTTGTAGTTTTAGCGTTTTATTGAGTTTCTTACTGTTTCCTTCTCCCATTGAAGGTTCTGCGTACTCCCCATTTCTAGAATCGCAAGGCAGCTACTGGAATCATCAAGGTAAGATTTTAAAGACATATTTCTAACTAGAACTCTTTTCCATCATTTCCGATGAAGCCAAAGGCTCACTATTTTTTGGCTTGAAAATTTGGAATCTAATGAAATAAAGCAAAATGGCTTACTAAATTATCTGCGCTTCTTTGTTATGAAGCTGCAAACTATGTAGCACGGAAACTCTTGGGAAAGAGTATGTTTCCGTTCGGGAACTCTACGGAAACTCTATAAATAGTTGTTTTTTGAGTAAAAGATGATGTTTCCCGTTTTCTGTTTCCTCATGATTTTCAGGTTTACATGCAACGTAGGCTGCAAACAAGCCATGCAATTTTCGATGTGATATTCATCATGGGGTGGGAGCCTTTGTGGCACTGGGGTAATGTTGTTGTTGTTGTTGTTGTTGTATTCGTACTAGAACTCTATGTCATATACTCATATCAGGGCTTGTTTTGTTGGGGGATTTTGGAGGAGAGGATTGGTTATGTTTTTCTACTAGAAAATACCTACTCCTATGGGTCTGTGTGCAATTTCATACTGCCAGGTAAAGAAAATTATAGGAGAAATGTGGAAGAAAAGAAAGCGTGAGAAAACAATAAAGCAATTGTCCAAGTTCAATTGATTTAATTTGATGTGAATTCAAACTCATTTTATCTATGTACTTGTATTATATATAGACAAAGAAATGTAACAAATGTTAGAAAACATTAATCATATTTCATTTTCCTTCACATTTTCTGTAGTAAACCAAATATAGGAAAACAATTTTCCCCATCTTTTTTCCTTTATCCATCATTTCGCGCGATCCAAACATGGCCAAACGTCTAACTAAATTATTTAGTCTGCTAATTTGCAGTGAGATTCATATCTAAGTTGCTTGTGGAATTTTCATCGTTATGGAGTTTATGCTATTTGACAAATGAGATGTATGAGTATGACTATATTTTGCTGGCATGGTAATGCACATTGGGGAGTTGGGTTGCGTTTGGGGGGCTTAGTGGGCCTCCTTAAATTTTGAAGCATATATGATGCAAAATTATGCCATAAGTGAGTTGGAAGTTGAAACTAAGATGTGAGATATTAGAGTAATTGCTTTTTCTCTCAATGCACATCATTTTTTCCTTTTCTCTGACCTCTTCACTTGCTAGGAAATTTATATGGATTGGTTATCAGGCTGATCCACCTGTCTGACAATGCCCCGCGCCATAGTTATGTGTTTTTAAAATGTGAATGATGTGCAGATCTGAATGTTCTGATGGATCTTTGCAAAGAGATGGCAGCAGAAAGGGCAGCAGCACCAATTAAATCTAAGAACGGAGCTGAAGGCTTGATGCCCAGCGGTGTTGCAAACCAGAATATGAGAATTGCAGAGAAAGCCCACATTCACCCGTCAGAGTGCGGGCCCTGTCACATCTGATAGCTTAATGTGTTTAAAATGTTAGTGATGCGCAAAGCTGGATGTTTTGATGGATATTGCAAAGACATGGCAGCAGAAAGAACAACAGGTCCAACTAAATCTAGGAACACATGAGCTGAAGGTTTGAACTTTGAAGCTTATTGGCATTACAAACTAGAATATGAAAACTGCAGAGAAGCCTCTGGCTCCCTCAGAGAGGCGCCGTCAGTAATGAAGCCTTGTGAAGATAGCACTGTTGATGCCTTCCCCAAGGACTTATATAGTTGGGCAGTCTTGGCTGTAATTTTATAGTCTATCCTGGAGATGCAATGGTTTACTATGGCAAACAGGCAAAGCAAAAGTGTCGTTCTGGTCTGCAAATCCCAATGATGTAAGGGGCAATCATTCTCTTGTTAATTTTTGACAAGAGTGGATCCTGATTCCTGGCCAGCATCACAAGTCTATTTTTTGTTAGCTTCATAGTTTTTTTTTATGTTTTCTTCCACCACATGAGAAGATTGGTGATATTTATTACTGAGTATTTGTTTGGTTTTGTGTCCCCTCATTAGCAGTGAACATACTTTCTAAAATGTCATCTCTTTTTATCACATTTTAAAGTTACTAATTAATCAACGCATATCCAAACACCGTTAGTCTGGACACTGTTGTCAATTTAAGCATATTTAATTAAGTAGATTCAGATTAATGACAACATTGTTGTCAATTTCACTTTTTTTAATTTTTTTTAAATGATTGTGAAGGTGCATTGACATTTGTGATTTGTGAAGGTCCAAGAAGGAATACCATGATAAGGATGAAAGGGGGGGCAGTCCTCAAATCCGATCCTAATGTATTCTGTTGTACATTTGTACTCTGTTGTCTCTGTATATGAATTCTACAATACTCCATATGTAAAAAAAACAATTGTCTAACAACAAGTAAAATCAATGCAAAATTTGAAAATATGAATACCATTAATGAAGGAATAAATAATGGCAAACATGACGATAACAATAATTATCTTCTATTTAGAGAATATACAGTATTCAAATTTACGAGTTTCACATTATTTTTACTTCTAATGTTGAAAATTGAAGTATCCATAAGTTTGAAGTATTGATATTTAATGTATGGAGTACAGATCTTGGTGACCTTTTTTTTGTCCGGCCTTATTTCTTTTTTTTTACCAGTTGATTAAGATATATACTCATTTTTTTACCCAGTTGGATTAAATATTGTTTTCAATGATTAAAATTTGTTGAAGGTAGGCATCCTAAACTAAATCTTTCATTTTAGAATCTTATCAAATGGTTAATATTTAGTTTATTATTAAAAGTAAAAAAAAATTCTATAAAATTTTGTTTTTAACACACTCTAATATTTAGAGTGTATCGAATTAAACCTGTTAAACTTTTTACGAATACAAGTTGGAGCTTGACTTGAAAATTTTACGAATATTAAACCTGTTCAACTTTTTACGAATACAAGTTGGAGCTTGACTTGAAAATTTTACGAATAATTTGTGCTCGAGTCAAGCCTTTTTCACTTTAAGTGCGTGCAAAGTAACAAATCAAACAATTTACAAGCTACTAATGTACTACTTGAATATTTTACACTCCTAATTATTTATGAAGTAATGCAATTTTAAGTCAAAATTTTAACTTAGGTAAAGTCAAGCACTTGAGTAATTAGATTTTAAGTCATTCCTTTAATCCTTTATATAGTCAAGCTTAGATGTGTTATATTGGGCTAGATCATATTGGGCTTAACTTAAAGTGTTATAACTTATGTGTTATATAGGAGTGTATGCAAAGTTGATGCCAATTGCCTAATTGGGCTCGATCTCAAACTCTTTTTTCGTCTGTTACTACACCGGAATGATATGTTGGATCGCATCCCATGAATTTCTCGCAAATTATATCGTACACCCGTATGTACGGTCCTCACCGTACATCTGGGTATTTTTGAAATTATTATCAACTTCTCCCGGTCCATCTTCCGCATCTACGATGGCTTAAGTGCTTTCAATCGGCGTTCACTACGCAATTACAGGGGAGAAGCTCGTTCGTTGTCCATCCGAGATTGCTGCAATCTGACGTCGCTCATCCACCATGGTTATTTCTCGCGCTTGCTCGTTGCTTCTTTGTTGCCGGCTTGGAGTTCTCGTTCGCGGAAATAATGGTGGCCAAAGTAGTGATTCTAATTCCAATTTCTAAAATCAGTTAGATAACAAATCATGCGCAGATAGCAATTCGTTTTCAAACGGATCTAATCGATTCTATTAAAAACAATTCAACGCAGAATACTATTTCTAAGAAACACATATTGAGCACAATAGAAATGCGTTTTATGTTAAATTCAAATGAGTATAACGTCCAAAATGAATGAGCACGCAAAAATGTGTTTTTAAATTTTTTGATACTCATTTCGTAAGTTATGTATGCTCATTTGTATATGTTTGATACTCATTAAAAATTCATTAAATAGAAATCATGATTTTCATTAATCTCAATAGATGAGGTTTGATGCTTAATGAAAATGTCGTGATGCTCAACTAACAAAGCAACTAACTAATTCATTAATACTCATTCTATAAGTTATTTATGCTCATCTGATACTGATCATATGCTCATTTTATAAATGTCATGTAAAAAAATCATATTTCAAAGTATCTTGACACTCAATATTATACTTTTAATACTCAACAGAATAAATGTAATGCTCAGTAAAAGTTCATGAATGCTCATTTGACAGAAACCATGATTTTCATCTCAAAAGAAGAGGTTTGATACCCAATGGAAAATTTTGTGGCGTTCAAGTAACAAATCTTACGATTTTCATATTAATGAACATGTTGTAAGTTACGTATGCTCATTTAGTACTGATGTTATGCTCATTTTAAAATGTCATATCAATGCATATTTCAAAAACATCATATTACATTAAATTTGCATATTGAATATTATAGGAGTGTATTATAGATATAATTTAACAAGTTTTTATAAAAGAAAAAATAAGAAAAAAATTGAATTAGAAGATATGAAGCATGAATCATGAAACTCAATGTTACCCTCTTATTGCTCATTTAGCGGAAGTCGTGACTTTTCGCTTAAATTACAAAAATGCTATCGAAAAAAATAGACTATATCAATTAAATGAGCTGTCTTTCTTAATTAATTGGGTCTTCGTCAAATTCATTAAACTTTATTAAAATTGGGCTGAAGTCCGCTTCAATTAAGGATGTTTTTACTTGGACTGTAATTCGTCCCAGGGCAGACTAGACCAGACCAGATCAGATCAGACCAGACCAGACCAGTTCAGACCAGACCAGACCAGACTTGGATAGTTATAAAAATACAAAGAAACCAGACAAGACTAGACCAGTTCAGATCAGACCAGGTCAGACCAGGTCAGACCAGACCTGCCCAGACCGGCAAATAACCGTCCCCATGTTCCCAACCTGCATGTTCCCACCCGTACATCCGGCCGTAGGATATACCAACCGTGAATTTCTCAAGTTCTTCCATTTCCAAATTCCAAGCCAGGTATTTCGTTTTTTAATGCTCCATCCGTATTCTTCGTTGCTTAGACTAAATATTTTCATCCGTATTCTTCCATTAAGAAATCTGTTTTCTTCTGTTGGATTTTAACTTCTAATATCACCTACTACGTATTACATTAAGGAATCTACTTTAATCTCATTTTTAACTGCATAGGAAAAAGGAAGTTTTAGGGCAAAAGATGACTAATTCAATGTTGGATGATAGAGCAAAGTTTATGGTCATAAGGGAAATAATTAAGTGGGGAATTGCGTTTGTGCTGCCATTCGAATTTGTTATTCTGTTTATTTTCACTGTTCCAATTTTGCCATGGTAGTTTCAGAGGAATTTCCATCATTTCACTATTGTTTGGTTTGAGAATATGATGGAGTAAAGTAAAATGACTCACTAAACTGTCTGCGCTTCTTTGTTATGAAGAAGCAGTCAGTCCATGTAATTTTCGACGTGATTTTCACTATGGGTCATCTGAAAACAGTCTCTTTGTGCTTTAGTACAGAGGTAAGGTTGCGTACATCCGATTTTCCTTACCTCACTGTAGATGGGAGCCTTTGCGGTACTGGGGTAATGATGATGATAGTGGTAGTTTCAGAGGAATGACTAGACCATAATAGTTTTTTCACCTCGTTGGCTAGTCATAATTTCGTCCATGAGCTCTGTTTTAGTAATACTATAAGAGTGCATTTTTGATATCTTATCTGCGTCATTAGGGCCTTTTCAATAAAAACACTTGAAGTGCTTCATTGAGAAACCAATAATAATGTAAAATCACTTTTACATTAAGTTATCAATTTTTTTAACTGAATATGGCCACTTTAGGTTAAGATAAATTTCTGTCAAAAAAAGGTCAAGATAAATTATTTTCTTATAGAGTAGAATTAAATAATTGAAAGATGACTAGAAGTGAAATCTCCCTGTATCATTAAATCCAGTTAATTCCTTTTAGAATTAATCTACAGTTTTTTGTTCAATTAATCATTTGAACAATTAAAACATATGTTAATTAGTTAGTTCACAAGTAACACAATAACCGTTTCTAACCTCTAGTCCAGGTTTTGCAATACATTTTCTAGTAATTTTCATTCTCAATGTATCTCAATGTATGTTACTATGCATGTATGTAACACTCTTTCTTTCTGTTAGAAATATTGAAAATAAATTATTAAAATGGAAAAGGATAGACAAAATCTGATTATTGTAGCAGTGACTGATTATATCGATATTTTTCGTACTGTGTGATTATCATAAGGTCATTAGGATCGGATTACATTTCAACTTGTAGTGAATATGGTATTAATGAAAAAAATACTATTAATACTATTAAAATACTATTTTAAAATATATATACACACACACACAAATATTTCTGTCAGGTGTACTTGAGAGGACCGCCGTCAGGCCACTTCGTTTTGAGGTGGTTCCCGATGGTATTTTTTGCTCAATTTTTTTAGCATGTTCCTCATGAAGTGTAGATGATTTCCACCAAGTTTGAGCAACAAATTCAATCGGGAAGGTAGTCAAATGATTTTTGTAAGATCACTGCGTTTTATATGTATATTTTGACACAATTATCTTACCATCGTGAACCACCTTCAAACGAGGTGGTCGAACGGCGGCTCCGGTCAGGTATACCTGACCGGAAGATTACTCTCTCTCTCTTCTCTCTCTGTATATATATATATAGCTCTATAATGAGGTCCATGTAAAGATAATTTATTTAAATAATTTGTTTATAAATTTTACTTATCTTAATTACACGTAAAGGTCAAATTTTTTGTAGTTGAAAATTAATTAATTTAATAATTCAAAAGATAATTTAATTATAAAAGTGAAATTTAACTTATATTACTTCCGTCCCTTAAAACTTTATCATCTTTGACATTTCAGGTCAATGATGGTAAACTTTGGCCAATAATTTTGATTAGCATAATTTTATTAAAGTTATAAATTTTATACTCCCTCCGTCCCTTAAAACTTTGCCATCTTTCCTTTTTGGGACGTCCCAAAAAACTTTGTCACTTTCCCTTTTAATCAATTATTTTGTGGTTTCTGTTATTTCTCTCCTCTGCACAAACCTCAACCACACAATTTTTACTTTATTATTCTCCGTGCCAGTCAACTTTGGCAAAGTTTAAAGGGACGGAGGTAGTACTTTTATAAAAGTATTTTTAATAAAGAACATTTGCATATGATTTTTACTTTAAATCATTTCTTATAAAAATATCTTTGGTCAAAATTTAACTTGATTGACCAAAAAATTCAAAGATAATAAAGTTTTAAGGGATAGAGGGAGTACTATTTTTTTTATTAATTGTAATAATGAAACAATGTTAATGTAAATAAATTCAAGATTGTTATATGCATCCCATATAAACTTTTTTTTGTGATCATGTAACTTTTAATGTTGGCATTCCTTGGCATGGTACAAAATTTATTTTGTGGTTGTAGAACTTTTAACATTGGTAAATTTTAAATACGGAGTATTATAAGATACAATGTATCTTTGGAGTGTTAAGTTTATTTATTACGGAGTAATTGAATGGTATTTATCATATTCATGACTTATTTTTCTTGAAATCTATAGTGAATTCAATAATAGTAATTGTCCCAGATAGGACTAAAAGAGTAAAGAAATTCTCAAATAGGACCATGTATGATTTCTTCCCTTAATAGGACCAATTACTCCTATTCCTAAACATACAAAAATTTGCATCTCAATTTTACCCCTGCACCTAATATCCCTTTTATCTCTCCATTTACAAACCTAATCGATCGACTCTTTGGTTTCTTCCCTGCCGAAAAAATCGATCGACAACTCCCTCTGCAACTTCTCCTTGCGCATCGCAACCGCCGCCGCCACCAACCATGCCGCCTCGTGTCGCTTTCGTCACTACTGGATTCAGCACACATCATCGCAGGTTGTCTCTTCTTCTTTTTCTTCTTCGTCTCCTTCTCCTTCTTCTCTTCTTCTTCTTCCCCGATCTACTCTTCTTTCCTCTCCTTTTCCTCCTCCTATTCCTCTATTTTAATGAGTTTAGACATTGATTTTTCAGATCTTCCTCCTATTCTTATGTTTTTCTGGAATTTGACATTGATTTTGTCAAATTTTAGGAATTCTATTTTGTATTTTCTGATTTTTGATTTCTGATTTCTTAGTTTTTTTTAAGTTCCGATTTTCCAAAAGTTTGGACGATGGTTTCAGATTTTGCCAAGTTTATGGCAAAAATATGTACACTGACAATCGTAATATGGCAGAAATGCCTTTGTTTTAACCAATCTTCCTCTGTTTTCTTGATTTTGAATTGAATTTTCCAAGTTTCGAACGTCTGTTTTGATTTTCTGGTTTCTAGTTTCTGAGTTTTAAAACAAATTTTAATTTTCAACATTTTGGACGATTGCTTCGGATTTGGCCAAATTTGTGGCAGAAATGTGTACATTAACATCATATTATGGCAAAAATGCTTTTCTATAAATCCATTTTTCTGATTTTGTGTGAATAGTTTCATTTTTCTAATTTTTGATTGTGTTAAAAAAATCATTTCATTAAAAAAATAGTTGTTTGAATATTTGGTTATTTACTTCATGTTTTTCATTTTTGCCAAATTTATAGCAGTTTTGTGTTAATATTCCACCATGAATCTGCCAACTCTTTGGCAGATCTGAAACTCTTGTGTTATGGCATGGCAGATGTGGATCCAGTCCTCAACTCTAAATCTGCCAACATCATGTCAGTTTTATTCCGCCTGAATTGTTACGATAGTAGTGGGGCTGAAAGGTGGCGGTGGTGGTGACGGCGACGCCGTTGTGGTAAGCGGCGAGGTAGGGGCGGTGATGGGTGGTGATGATGCATCGGCAAGGATGTAGCAGCAGGCGGCGATGGAGGCGACAGACGGCACATTCGCGGGCGAGAGCAGTGACAGGCGGCGGCGTCTCCGGCGACGGCGGTGACAGGCGGCGGCGTCTCTGGTGAGGGCAAAGTCAGGATGCGCCGACGGGAGGTTTGCCTCTGGCGGTGGTAGTGTTATTGCTAGGGCTCAACAGTTTTTAATTTTACATTTTTAAAATTTAAAATATTAAAAGGTGGTATTTTTGTCCAATTGCTCTGAAAATGGTCCTATGAAACTTAACTTACGCAAGCAGTCTTATATATGCAATAAAGTTTGCAATTAGTCCTATTTGAGTCATTAACTAGATCGATAAAACTACTCTGCATTCTTTAAATATCTTATTCAGGTATCGTTTTTCTGTTTTCCGGGTTTCTTGACCCAGGCAAGGTACGTCAGATACGTACACCATATGTAGAGTTGAGGTGAAATGGCAATTGTAGCTGGTACATCCCTGCAGTTATTCCAGAGTTTGAAGCCAGGAACAATGCCTAGATTGCCTGCGCCTAGGCATTTTCTTCCATTTCCACCTTCCACTGGATTTAAATGTACTCGCCATTGTGGATTCAATGTGAAGTTATGCTGCTGCTGGCATCAATGGAGGAGAGGTGATTTCGTGAAGTCGAGTGCCGGAACTTGTAATCGGATTCGTACAACAGCTATAGTCAGGGAAAGAGGGGAGAAAGTCGAGGATCATTTATTATGTGATGGTGAGGATACTGGCAATTCAATTGGAAAGGAGGTAATCACTAACCATGGTCTGTTTATTCTCTGAATGAAGGATGAATTCTTTGTGTGCCATCCAACGGATTAGGAAATTAGGTATATACTAACATGACCTCAAATACAGTAGTAGTTAGTTAACTATCCGTAACTTGAAAAATTGGTGCTGCAAGCTTATGATTGACTCTCTAGGTTTGGCATGAATGATACTTCCATATATAGTTTTGTGATAAAATTGCAAATGCCTTATTTTACATTTGCCACCCAGTCTGAGTGAATTCATGTAACTGGCATCATATTTATTTTCAAAAGCTTTGAATATTCCCTAAAATAAAGTATATCTTCTTGTATTTTGGGCTTCAATTTGTAACGTTTGGAGCTTCTACCAGTCCTTCCAGGATTAATTTTATACTATTTACACAAACAATATATTGTTGTAATTGCTTTTGTGCCACCCAGTATGAATGAATTCAGGTAACTGGCATCATATTTATTCCAAAAGCTTTGAATATTTCCTGAAAATAAAGTATATCTTCATGTATTTTGGGCTTCTTTCTGTAACGTTTTGGAGCTTCTACCAGTCCTTCCAGGATTAATTTTATATTATTTACACAAACAATATATTGTTGTAATTGCTTTTGTGCAAGGCTGCAAGCCTTAATTCCTTTTGTACTCTCTTGTTTGCGAGGAAGCCTAAGTCTTGTTTTTACTTCATTGATGTATATTTCCTGTGCAGATTCTAAAAAAAAAATCCGATATGCAGGGTGCTAATACTTCACCGAAGGTGCAAGAACGAGACTTTACAGGCACTCCTTATGTCCCTGTGTATGTCATGCTACCTGTGAGTGTGATTTTGTTCCATCTCACACAGCCATCTATTGACACCTTACTGACTGTATTCCCACTTGGGGTGGAAGCTATACAGATATACTTCTAACTTTTCAAATTCTTGTGCTGGTACAGCTGGGTGTCATAGATATGCAATGCAGGCTTGTGGATGCTGATTCTCTGATAGAGTACCTACGGATACTGAAATCGATTAACGTTGATGGTGTTATGGTGGACTGCTGGTGGGGAATAGTTGAAGCACATGCTCCACAACTATATAATTGGAATGGCTACAGGAGACTTTTTCAAATTGTGCGCGACTTGAAGCTTAAACTACAGGCAAGTCACTAGTAGCTATGAGAAGTAAAATTCTTAGTACAACTCTTTAATTTCATGTACGCTTATTATAATCTTTGTTGCATTAGTATTACATGTTCTTATTTATGTTAATTGGCCCCATCAATATTTATTACATTTTCGTGGAGGTATTTATGTAGGTGGTTATGTCGTTTCATGAATGTGGTGGAAATGTAGGCGACGATGTACATATTCCCCTTCCAAAGTGGGTTGCAGAGATAGGCCAGAAAAATCCAGACATTTTTTTCACAGATAGTGAGGGAAGAAGAAATCATGAATGCCTCACTTGGGGAATTGACAAGGAGCGTGTTTTAAGAGGCCGAACTGCTGTGGAGGTACTAAATTGTCTTTTTTTAAATGTTAAGTTCTAAGCTTATTTTGGCACGCAGCACGCTAGAGAGAACTACTATGCAGTAGAGCATTTTGATGTTTAAAAAAAGATTTATATTGCTTCAATTGTTCTACAAAGTAATATTTACAGTTTGGAGTTGGGAACTGCAATTATGACGTTGGTTTAAATTAGTTCCCAATGTCAATCTTATCCAATTTATTTCAAACTAGATAAAGACAACCTAAGAGTTCCTATAATTTGATTCATCTTTCTTATTCGATTTTATTTGATCGCCTTCTAAGTTCTAATTCATCTATAGTTTTTGAATATCAGTTATGTTGGATTTTATTAATAGCACAGTGGTTAAATTTATTTATATGAAAATGGTCGAGCAGAGAAACAAACTAAAAATGTAGCTGATAAAAAACTTGACTTGTATACAGTCTGATGTTTAACTTTTCTTCTAACTATCTGCTAAATAATACTATGTAACTATCAATTTGTAGTCGGCATCTTACCTGATATATTAGCAATTTCCGCGTATGTATTTGTTTAAATAATTTGCTCACAAATGATGTAGGTTTACTTTGATTACATGAGAAGTTTTCGTATAGAGTTGGATGAGTTCTTTGAGGATGGAGTTATCTCTGAAATTGAAATTGGCCTGGGGCCATGTGGGGAATTGAGATATCCTTCTTATCCAGCCAAACATGGTTGGAGATATCCTGGTATTGGTGAATTTCAGGTTAGCAATCTCTGTGTTCTATCACAGATTGTCCAACCTCTTTATATGTTATATTGTTAGGCTTAAGACATTATTGTTTTCTACTCCTCCCGCCACACAAAAGTCTCTCCGATTTTGAGTAGGGTACAACTTTATTTTTTTAGGCAACACAAATGTACAAGCATTTAAAAGTCATGAATGGTCGCTTATACCACTAAAACTTATTTCGAAGATTGTTTGGATTAGTTGTCTTTGTAAAGTTGAAAATAAAGTTGAGTCTTAAAACATTTTTTTGCTACAAAAGATATTATTGCTACAGGATTCTTTTGGAACAGAAAAGGAGTAGTTTTTCTATCACATACTGTACCATGATAAGTACCTGATAAAGAACCTGTAAAGAGTTGCACATGTTAGGGCCGCTCATTTTGGAGCAATGGTCCTGATAATATTGGCTCAAACAAATCCTTCCCACTTGAAAACTTGGTTCAGAGTAGTAATTGACTAAAACTGGTTGACTTTACATGAAAGTGAAAGTTGACTTTTGAAACCGGACTTTTTTGGGACAAAAGCTCTTGAAGCGGGATTTCTTTGGACAAAGGGGGTAATTGTTTCTGTCACATACAGTGCTATGATAAGTACCTGATGAAGAGCTTGAAAAGAGCTGCAGATGTCAGGGGTCACTCGTTTTGGGGTAAGGGTCCTGATAATGCAGGTTCATACAACTCCACCCCACATGAAACTGGGTTCTTTCGTGATGGAGGTGAATATGATAGTTACTACGGCAGATTCTTTCTAAAATGGTACAGTCAAGTTTTGATTGACCATGCTGATCGTGTGCTTTCCCTGGCAAATTTGGCCTTCGAGGACACTTCTATTGCTGCAAAGGTAAACTTTGTACCTTGAAGATTATATCTTAGATTTCTTCCAGACTTTTAGTTGTGATTTGACAAACTAGTTAGGGTTAATCATGTGATTTGTGAGCAGCTTTCAGGTATCCATTGGTGGTACAAAACAGCTAGCCATTCAGCTGAGTTGACTGCTGGGTTTTACAACTCGTGCAACCGTGATGGGTATGCTCCTATCGCATCAATGTTAAAGAAGCATGATACTGCTTTAAATTTTACGTGTGTTGAGTTGCGTACAATAAACCAGAACGAAGACTTTCCTGAAGCATTAGCTGATCCTGAGGGGTTAGTTTGGCAGGTAACTTTTGAAAGCGCACTAATCTGAAATTTGTGATTTCTTTTGTTTTCTCATATACAAGTACTTTGGTTGAGATATTTTATCTATTAATGCACGTAATTTCTTCTTTTCAAATTATATTCAAGTTGCAATCTCTTTTATTACTGGGAGGGGTAAAAGACAACTTTCAATTATCAACCAACTTGACTAAACTCGATTAGAATCTTGCAGACATGCTTTGAAACACATAAGAGACAAAAACAATTAAACAACTATGAAGAACTAAAGCTAAACACCTCCTATGATAAGACATACAATCGCCTACACTATCAAGAACTAAAGTTATAGGTGTTATAACTTGTGGAGTATTTTTCAGGTGTTAAATAGTGCATGGGATGTAAACATATCAGTTGCGAGTGAGAATGCACTTCCTTCTTATGATAGAGAAGGCTACAACAAGATTCTGGAAAATGCAAAGCCATGGAATGATCCAGACGGAAGACACTTATCAGCTTTCACATACCTCAGGCTAAGTCATGTTCTCATGGAGAATGACAATTTCCTTGAGTTTGAGCGGTTTTTAAAGAGAATGCATGGTTAAGAAAATAAATCCTTTCATGGCTTTTAGTATTCCCTTCACTACAATAATTATAGTTCCTGAATTTTATTATTGTTTGTTGTGATGCAGGGAAACCATTGTCCAATTAGAAACAGTTATCAGCTTGAAGACCTTAGAGTGCACATTGCCTGGGAAACTGCACTGGAAATGTGAACCCTCTTATATTAGACTAATAATAATAAGAGGGTTCCTAACAAAATGAGCAGGCATTTGGGTTAACAGTCATTTGAGATAAAAGATATGCAACCATTGCGAGAGTTCTGCTAAATATGAAGTGAGCATTGGGATTAATGCCCGGTTGATGTTATTGTGTCTACTTTTAAAAAGTTATGTTTTGGATTAAGGTGTCCTGATTGTAGTTTTGCTTGTTGTTCTTTGTCCAACTAAATCTGAGAAGCTTTAGTTGTTCTCGTGATTAAGCTTTTGTTGTTCTTCACAATGCTGGAGGTTTGAATCTGAGCGCCATTACAAACTTGAATATGAAAACTGCAGAGAAGCTTCTGGCTCCCTCAGGAAGGCCGATGTTAACAATGAAGCCTTGTGAAGGTATGGGGGCCTCCTCCACAGGATGTCTATCCCTGAAACAGTGCACTGTGATGCCATATGTTAACGGGACATGTATAGTTGGTGGGTCCGCCTTTGGCTAGAATTTTATAGTCTATCCTGGAGATACAATGGTGTACTATGGCAGAAAAATAGAGTTGTTCCTGCAACCCCAAAATCTCAACAAGCTGTGTCATCACAAAATACTGTATTTTTTTTCTTTTTCTGTTTTCTTCCCCATGTAAGAATGCAGGATAATGTGAGCGATCAATTTGGTATACAATTTTATTGTATGGTTTTGTTTCCCCTTATCTAGGTTGTTAACATCATGACTTAAATCATAAAAATCAAATCGTGCAATTTTACAATTCAGTATCATAAACCGATTTGAATAGCACAAAAAATGGATATAATAAAAATCATATAAAATCATTTTTAAAATGGATAAATTTGTTAAAACCCCGATGTCATCTGACTATAATTTTAAGAACTCATGTTTAACACTTTAACTGCAGACAAACACAGCCCAAGTCGCTCAGACTAGTAGCACACCAAGGACCCATTTGATAGTGTACACATTGAATCTTTGCAAGTGAAATCATTGTATGCAATAGAGAAGCAATATATTTGCATGTAAAATTGATTACATTGTTTGGCTAAATGGGTAATTCTTTTTAAGTTGCATACAATTCGTTGTAATGCTTTATAAAAAATATGCAAAATATTTTATCACTATTCTTCAATGTAAAATACTTCACATGTTATAGTGCGATTTTTTTTTTAAATGCGCTACAATTCACATTAAATAATCAAGTTAACTAATGTAAATTTTTTATGTCCATACAATTCACATGTAATAATTATTTTACATCTTATCAAATGCCTTCTAAAAGTAGTTTGATAGTATAGAATTATGATTGTTTATGTGTGTAATTTTAACTAGTTTTATTTGTTGTTGTTTGGGAAATTACACACTTTGGATGTAATACTTTATTTTTCCTAGTTGTTTGTAATTCGTTCAGATTAGGGATTTTTTGAGCTTAAACTAGGTAAAGATCATTGAAATTATCCTGGAAAGGTCAATGAAAGTGCAAGGGAACAAGAGACGGTGAAAATTTGGGAAAATAGTCAAAACCCCGACCGGGTTTTCCAAAAACCCGATCGGGTTTGACTTGACCCGAAGATCAAATCTTATTTGGAGGCAATTAAACGTGCAAGGCGAAGATTTGGCAAAGATTTGTCTTTTACCTGATCGGATAAATCAAAAACCCGACCGGGTAGATGTGACTAATGAAGATTTCGGGCAATTACTCAGGAAACCCGATCGGGTTTCTGAAAAACCCGGTCAAGTAAATGACTCTTCCACCTCCAAACACCTATAAATACACCCCCTTTCCTTTCCATTTAATAACCAATTCACATATACTCTTAAGCTCAATTTAGAATAACATTTCTTTATATTTTTCTAGCATGTTTAGTCTCCAAATGAGGAGCTAAACTTCCATCTCTTGGTTTTGCTCTTGAAGCTTGTTGATTATTAAAGTTGTGAATTATTTTCTTAACTTCTCTCCTTGAATATTAATTCTCCCCTTAATCTATCTCTATATTAATGTTGGGGAGTGTTGCTAAGATGACAATTAGTTAACATTTCAATATTAATTACTACTAGAAACGATCAACGAACCGATGGTTAATCGTTGATGGTTTCACAAGTAAGTAACTTCGGTTTATTAATGCACGATCGTGGTTAATAAACTTAAGAGGGATTAATTTTGTTGGTTAAACCGAAACCGTTGTGTTGAGGTTATCAATCTCAATTGATTTCATCAAGGAGTTAGAAATATTAAATGCTACTATTAAATTGGTATAAGGCGTTGTTCTATATTTGATTAATAGTAACAGTTATTAATGAACAGTCGTTGTTAATAACTACCCTCGATGAATTGGAGATACTCCTTGATTGAGTATTCGAGAGGGGATAAGTTATAAATATAACAAGGATCAACCAAATATATCAATAAGTGGAAAGTAGCAAAACCAAGTCTTTTATCTCATTAATTAAAATCATTTAAGTCATTCATCTTAGTGTTTGTTTAATTAAATCAAATCAACCCCAAAAACCCCTTATTATTTACTAGTTCCATGAAAAGAGAATTACTCCTTTTGTAACACCCCGGCCTCGCAGGACCCGAGGTAGCTACTCTAGACCAATAGTACTGTCCTCACAAACCACCACGAGCCTTTACCGCGCACTTTGTCCTCACTCATGCGCGCCCTGAGAAACTTTCCAGGGGGTCACCCATCCCAAGACTACTCTCGTGCAAGCACGCTTAACTTTGGAGTTCTTGAGTGATGAACTCCCTTAAAAGGAGATGCACATCTGTTGGTATGAGTAGTACTATTAATCCATTTAAATTAAATCTCAAGTATTACACCTTTTCCTGTGGATACGAACTCTACTACGTTATACTACGTATACGTGTTAGTATTGAATTTATTTTGATGCACTACGACAAAGTGCTCGTCATAGTTACATGTTTTTGGTAAAAAATTAACTTCATTAATAATCATCAATCCGCAATACATGAACAATGCAATCAGGGAAGATGCCACCTAAGTATCATCAGCCCTGAACAAGCTTCCCTTACAAGTGCATGTGCAATCTGATTCGAGATTGGTGCATAAAATGGACAACTTTTTATGTCCATACAATTCACATGTAATAATTATTTTACATCTTATCAAACGCCTTCTAAAAGTAGTTACATATTTTTTTGGCAAAAAATTAACTTCATTAATAATCATCAACCCGCAATACATGAACAATGCAATCAGGGAAGATCCCACCTAAGTATCATCAGCCCCTGAACAGGCTTCCCTTACAAGTGCATGTGCAATCTGATTCGCGATTGGTGCATAAAATGGACAACAATATCAGTAAAATCTGCCATCACGTGTCTAATATCCTTAAAAATAACATCATCACAATGTAGTCCTTCCACGCATGATATTCCTTTCACAAACTGTTGAGCATGTGACTTCACAACCACTCTTTGCAATTATGAATCAATCACCCACGTGACCACATCCTCTATTGTCATAGCTTCAATAGTACCTAGTGTGAAAATCCATCTCTTTCGCACTCATCTAGCAGCTATGAAGACCCCTCTTTCATCTCTGGCAATAAACCCGAAGCTCTCCTATCACCATCTATTTGAATTGCCGCATCCACGTTGATTTTAATCTGACCCGGCTCCGGTCTCTTCCGATGCTCATTCTTTCTTGTCTTTCCTTGAACCACAAATTCACACCTTTGGGTTTCCTTCCAACCAGTCAAAACTACTTCCCCACAAGCTACAACCACCTTGCAAAAGTAGTTACATGTCTTATATGGTGAATACAAGAAAGAGTAGTTACATGTCATATATCCTCAATACATGAGGTTATATAATTCAAGGGGGTGTGGACCCATACTGGTTGGGTGTTGAGGTGAACATACAATTCTGTATACACATGATATCATATTAATTGGTTTTATAAAAAAACCAAAACATTTTCATTCTGTCTCATTTCACGTTTGTGTTTTGGAATCCAGTCCTTCCCATAAACTCGCGATTTTGTTCATATGTGAAACCCAACTGTCAGGGGCTGATCAAGTCTTGGATCAGTGGGAACCAAGACACACATCCAAAAGAAAAAAATTAGTATTCTCTCTTTATAACATTATCAAAATTGATTGACACGCAAAATAATAAACTAAAAATTGTGTATTTGATATATACGAAGAAGAGACTTAACAAAAATTGCTAATTTTTTTATTTTAAATAAAAAGTAATAAAGTTAGTTGCACGATTAAAAAAGGAAAATTAACGATAAGAGGTATGGAGTAGTATATACAAGGTCTTTTTACCTGAATATTACAAACATGAGGATAAAAGACAATAAAATATGGGGTTTTTACAAGAATATTACTAAAATAAAACATATTTACACTAATATGACTATTCATTACTACAATGAGGTGCTATAGTAACTTAAGCTCAAAAGTTGAACATGAATTACTATGATTTCATTACTATTCTAGTCACTAGTCATATTTTTGTAACTCATCTTTATTTTGGTCATATTTATGTAATTATTGCAAACATCTTTTTTATATTTCCAAAAATTGTGATCAACTTCACAATTATTTGCAAGACAAAGTGACTCCCGTACGGTCATTCCGGACAACGACTCCAGTACATTGAAGCCATTACCGGTAATTCCACCCTAGTAACATGCCAACTCTGACCATCTCCCCGCCGACACCACAATCCCTCTGCCACCGTTACCGCCACAGTGATGCCGCACCACCCTAGTGCCATTGCGGGCACCGTCCCATACCAGCCATCCCGTGGCGGATTTAGCATCGATGATTTAGGTGTTCAAAGCTCAAGTAAAATTAAAATGGAATAATCATATTAATAATTAATAATTTGATTAGTTGAAGAGTTTTTTTAATCCTTGTTATTAACACAAATAAGTGAAGAAAAAAACATTCTGCCACATCAAAAATAAATTATGAAACAAATTCTGCCACACTAAGTATAAATTAGGTAAAATAACACCAATAAATTAAACAAAAAACACCGCCAAACCAATAACTTAAACAAAAACCATACAATCACTGAACAATTGTGTAGCTCCTTCGATTCTTTATTCATCGAGGAAGAACCAAATTTGCTAGCTGTAGGCTTTCAATTTGTATAGAGTCCACCACTAAGACACTAAAAAAAGCATATGTCCCAAATCTCAATATTTTCTCATTATTGATTCTGAATAAACCATTTAGTCGTAGTTGGATACGCAACGGAGGGACGGACGAGTTCCAGAGTTTGGAGCTTCTGAAACGCATATGAGCTTTACAGTCTAACAAAACGATGACGTTTTGATCATAACAATTGAAATTTTTGGGTATTCACATGAACACCCTTGAACAACACTAGTTCCGCCACTACAGCCATCCATACCGCCCCTCCCCCGCCACAATCACAGCCACCACTAAGGCCAGCCACCGACCAACTTTGCCCCCCCTCCAGTCACCCAATCTCTGCCGCACACCAACTCCGACCATCCTAACCAGTCCCAATCCGCTCCTCCCAGCCTAAGCCCACCACCGCCTGTTTACTAATCTAAAATGAAATGGGAATTGAACAAATATGAATCGATAATGGACTGGATGAGGAACAAAAAATATAAATTAAGTATGTAATAGGAGTTCAAATATGATAGAGAATTTGATTACAAAGGTAATGAATGTATTGTGCGAGTTTGATAAAAAATGATCGTGCCCTTTTTGGCAATCTACGTAACTATTTATTAGATAAAGTATTACTCCTTCCCCAAGTTTTGCATCTGCCCTCCGTTTTTTGCTCCACGTCTAACTGATTGTGCCTATCCTTTTCCTTCCTGTGAATCGGGCTAGTAATTGGTTGAAGCACGACTCTTCTATTTGGACTTGTGTAATCTTCTTCACACTTCTAGTGTGCCAACCCAATCGCGAGATATATCATTGGCCCAACACCCAAAATCAAGAAATATCACCGGCCTAACAATTGCCCCCATTCGCATGGGTGATGGTATAATCGGTTGAAGAGACTGCCATCATTGCGAATTTTAAGTTTTCGTTCCCCCCTATTACTTTCTCTCTTCCCAACGATTGACAAACTCATCGTTCAAAGGGAAACTCCATTGAAAACCGCAGAAAATTGTCTGCCAATTGAAAATTTGAACACGCAGTTGAAAATATACAAAAAAACCCAGAAGAATAAAAGGCGTCATATCATGAGAACAAGGTCTCAATCCAGAGACTTCCCATGAGACTAGTTTATATATTTACTTTTATTTCCTACTTTTGTTTTTTGTTTCCTTCTTTTTTTCCTTTCTGTAATGCTCTTCTTGTTTTCCTTTTTTGCATTGTACTATTTCCCTTTTATCAATAAAATTGCTCTTTGGTTTAAAAAAAAGGAAACTCCATTGATCAGTTTACACAGACCTTCGCTCCCTTCGTCTTCTCGCAAAACTCTGAACGAATTTTCCACCACCACTACTCTCGTCGGTTTTCATCATGGAACAACCGATATTCAAGAGCCAAGGTGTTCTTGAAACCAGGAACCTCAAGGCTGGTGACTTGCGCGTCAAAGATAAGGAAGAAATTGAGTCCTTACATGGTTTTCCGCCTGCGACAAGGATTCATTACCCTCAACGTGGTGAAAGAGCAGATTGGATTTGCCGTGGGTGGGTCTGTTTCTATCAATATCCTTTTGAGAAACTAGGCGTCCGCTTCCCCTTCTCTGAACTGGTAAGAGGCTTCATTATCCTTGCTAAGGTGTCTCCTTGCCAGATTATGCCACAAACTTAGAGACTTCTTCGCTCTTTAGAATTTCGACATGATTCGGGATCCGTCTTCTCCGTTCCATACCAGCCAGCCATACTTCCCCTCCCCCGCCACAATCACAGCCACCACTATGGCCGGTCACTGACAAACTTTGCCCCCCTCTAGCCACCCAATCTATGCTGCACACCAACTCCGACCACCCTAACCAGCCCCAATCCACTCCTCCCAGCCTAAGCCCACCACTGCCTGTTTATGCTAAAATAAACTAAACTAAAATGAAATGGGAATCAAACAAATATGAATCGATAATGGACTGGATCAAGAACAAAACGTATAAATTAAATATGTAATGGGAGTTCAAATATGATAAAGAATTTGATTACAAAGGTAATGAATGTATTGTGCGAGTTTGATAAAAAAATGATCATGCCCTTTTTGGCAATCTACGTAACTATTTATTAGATAAAGTATTACTCCTTCCCCAAGTTTTACATTTGCCCTCCGTTTTCTGCTCCACGTCTAACTTATTGTGCCTATCTTTTTCCTTCCTTTGACTCGGGCTAGTAATTGGTTGAAGGATGGCTCTTTGGACTTGTATAATCTTCTTCACACTTCTGATCTGCCAGCCCAATCACGAGAAATATCATTGGCCCAACACCCAAAACCAAGAAATATCACCGGCCCAACACCTCCCAACCCAAACCAACCGAATCAAATATGGTCCTCTTCAACTAAGTCGGACCGGTCAATGCCCGGGTAGCAGCAGCCCCAACCAGATCCCCAACCTGGAAACCCTAACCGTCATCATCTTCGTTGACATAGTTGTAGAGCTCGTCGCTAAGGAGATGTCAATCCTAATCGTTGACTAAAGAAAGAGAAGAAGATGGAAAGAGACAAGGATGGTGAGCGGCAACGGCAGGATGACCAAGAGAGAGAAGGGTTGCCTGTCAGGCCCGACGACGTCAAGGGAGAGCTCCATGCCAGCGGATGACGGTGATGAAAAGTTTCGCTTGCTGAGGTGGCGAAAAATTTTGCATGCAAAGAAGGGATAAAGTAAAGGGATGACTCGCTTTTGAAGCTCATAGAAGTACTTCTGCAATTTTATCCAAACATTCGAGTATTTGTTTGTGCTTCTTCTGAAAATATTTTAAGTAGATCTAAACACAAATGTATGTGAGCAGCGTTTGTCCTGAGGCCCTAAGTGAAATAAGACGGCCCAAGCGAAACAACGGAGTCCGAAAAGTGAAATCAGCAATGAACAAGCATCGCCAAAGCAGTGAACAAGGGCCCACACTCAAAAAGCGTTTTTTACCACCGAGTAATAATAAAATATACTCCCTCCGGTTCTTATTAAAGTTCTCACTTTCCTTTTTGGGATGTCCCTTATTTAAGTTCATACTTCCATTTTAGGAAACAAAACAGTGCAAAACAGTGCCAAACAGTGTCAAACAGTGCCAAACAGTGCCAAACAGTGCACTCCACAGTAAAGTCAAATTCATTTTGTTAATATGTGTGAAGTCAAACTAAGAACTTAAATAAGAACCGGAGGAAGTAAAAAAATGTTGGAGTCATACATCCCAGTCCGAATCAAACACAGTGCATCGCTACTTCGGTGCGGAACTTCATGATGTTCGGATATTCCAAAGGCCGAAGGCCAAAAATTAAAACTGGCCCAGTGGCCCATATGTGAAATGCCCAAATTGCAGCTAGCACCGAGCCCTTGGTCCCTGCCTCTAGCCGCTAGGTCTCCGAAAGACTCTGTCTGACTCGCTCTCTGGCTCTCTGCGACTGTGCTCTACGCCTCAGAACACTCGTGTTCTGGTCTTCCATTTGAGGTAGGTTTTTTAATGATTTAATTTGATTATATTTTTTTATTTCAGTTTTGGAATACAGCTTTTAGGATCAGGAATTTCAGCCTTTAATGGCTCCGCTCGTCTCAAAAATCATAAGGGCTGAAGGGTTGTAAGCCTTAAATGGCTTTAATAAAAAATACGTAGTAAAGTTTATTCTTTATTCTTCCAAAGTTCCATGCTTTGCACTTTATAAAATTAGCAGTATATTATAACTATGTTGATGTATGATTGTATCAATGCTGATATGAATGTGATTGTGATTTATAAATTGTGTTTTCTGATTTACATTAGCATGAATTTCATTCTAATATGTTATTATTAATGTCATTTTTTAGTGTTAATTGCATATTCTCACTCATGAGTTTTTTGTATTATTGTATTAATTCAATCTCTTTTAATAAAGGTAATGAAGAGTTTTTATGATCATGTTGAAGTAGGAGCTAAGAAATATAGCTCACCAAGAATTGTGCTAGGCTCAAGTAAAATTGAAGAAACTTCAAATAGAAATGATAACAAAACAACATTCGAAACACAAAGTCATTTAATGGTGAAGAGTTTGATTCTTCCCAACTTTCATCTTAGTAACCGGATGCGTAGAAAAAGACATCTTCTTGAAAATTGACAATGATGTCATTATCAAACGGTATCAGTCGATGAACTCCCGTAAAGAACAGTTGTAAATTTATTGGGTGCTTGTATTTGACTTTGATGAAAACTCTTATTTTTATAGTATTGTATTTTGTCTTTGGCTTTTTTTGTTGCAACACATGTTATTTTATATCTTTAAAATTTTGGCCCCACCTGGATGCAAATGCTAAATCCGCCCCTGGCAGTGAAGCAGACAAGTTGAGACCTGTGGAAGCAGACAAGCAATGAAGCAGATGACCTGCTGCCTCTCACGCCGGTCGGCGTTCTCTACAATTCTTTATTTCGCTTAGCAGACCGCAGTGCCCTACTGCCCCTTGCACCTATGCCCCTAGCCCGCTCCCGAGTCCCGCCCTGTGCTGCGCCCTCCGCCCCTGCCTTCTGACTGAGCTGTCTTCCGATTTTCAAGTATGTATTTAAGTATTTCACTTTCAGTTTTATTTTTGTTATATTTCACTCCCTCCTTCCCAATATGTAAGATACACTTTCCTTGTGGGTTGTGACTTGTGAGTTCTGAATTATGACTTCTGAAATATCCCTAGATGGCTCGATAGATTGTTGTTGTGAACTAAACCAGTAAAACCTTAGTATGAGGAATTATAAGGCTGAAAATCACTATTTTTACTGATTTTTGTTGGGTAAAATTCTCGTAGAAGGCACTGCAGCCACTAAAAAAGATGGGAAAGAAAGGATCAAACACAATTAAACATGATTCAAATGGGAGGAAACAGAACCATGTTAATGCCAAGTCGATGTTGAAACTGGAGCATATTAAGAATCTTGCGGTTTGGGCCAGTGGTGAGACATTCATACCTTCTTTAGGCTGCTTTTTTGGCATGAGTTTAGCTGCTTCCTCCCAGGCCTTGGGATTGCCTCCTGACCCGACTTTTGTCCCTTGTCAAAGGTTTCTCTTTGCTTACTCCCTTTATTCTTAAACATGATTCATAAATTTCTCTTTGCCTTTTTTTTTAAATAAATTTCATGCATGAACTTTTTTAAAATCTGTAATTACTTCAACTGTTTTTATTTTCTCTATAATCCATTTAAGAAAGTTTATTCATAGGGAAAAATAAATAAATTATCCTGAACTTTATTTAAAAAAATTCAGGATACCCTATACTTGTCTTGTTTTGTTTAAAAAAATACCTCCCACTATTTGCATTTGAGATACGGGTACCCTATCTTAAACTTTTTGAATTTATTTTTGAATTTGAAAGTTTTTAAATAGATCCAGTTGGCAAAGAAATCCACGTTAGCTTTCCCTGGAAACTCCTCCCTATCTAACCACCCACGCATATCTTCATCTCAAACCCCACAAGAAGCCATGAACGATTAGTGCCTTGGACAAAGAAGAGTGTCATAGGCTTCTCTCTTGTGCAGTTGTGCTCTCTGCCGTCTCCCAGACCTTTCTCTTTGTTCCGGCTCACCGTCAATTAGATACGGGGGCTTACTCGCCCAAAATCTTGCATCTTCCTCTTCTTTCAAGGCCGAAAGTCCGGAACTCGGAAGATGCCGATACATGAATGTATCAGTCTGACGGCTTCTTCAAAATCCCAGATTCGAAGACCTTATATTTCTGACGGCACCGCTTATGGCTTCGTTGTTTAAATCCTCGCTAGTTTCATTTTCTCATGTGGTTTGGCTCTCACGAAGGCCTTAACCGTCCCCTGTCTGCAGAGAGGTTTCTGTCTTAGAAGCTCTTGAAGAAGACTTCAACTTGGTTCTGGAAAATGTTTAATGTCTGTTCAGAGAATGCAAAGGTGGCCTTCAGAATTTTGAGTGTCAGTATAATGTTTAAGTCTTCCCTAGTGGGCCTAATTGTATTCCTTCCACGTCTATGTATTCCTACTCTTGATGTGGGTGACCAAACATTACATGTGCAGCACTTGAAATTTGGCAGTGGACACAAGACTATGGAAATAGGAGAATGTTTTGATAAATGCTGAAATTATATGCTACTAAAAGAGAAGAAGAATGCAGTTAAGACTGAACTGATGGTGCTGCAATCTGATTTCGAGAACATGAAAGCCATTCATATATCAAAGATAGAGATTGAAATGTATTAGCTAGATTTGTAGTTCTTGGTTTTGTCTCTATTTGTTCACTTATTATAAGTAAAATGTACCGAGTAATAGTTTTTTATAGCTATTAAAAGAGACTCAATACTAAAAGGAAGCTAATGGTGAAAATGAGTATTTGATTGCACTGGAATATGTAGGAGAAAATACTGTAACGAAAACAATGCTATTGATTAATACAAATCTTTTTTTTGGTTAGTGGGATTCTGATTTTGTTGATTTGAAATTGTAACAAAATTGTAAACATACTACAAAACCAGTAAACAATATAATGAACAAAAATCAACACATGATTTCTTTGATTGAGTGTTTGTGTTTAAACAACAAAATAACATTCACAGGCTCACAACATGGCCTTTCTATAGCAGTCTGAACAAAAAATGATAAGCAAAATACAAACCAATTCATGACTTGTACATAGCAGGCTGCACAAAAAAAGACCTAACATTGCCCTACATATAAAAGTAGTCTTCATATAGCAAAAAGCATATGCCCCCTCATCTACGGATCATATTTGTGATGGATGAGAACTGGATGGAGCAGAAGATGATTGCGAAAAGACATTAGCACCCCCTTGCCCTGGCTGAAATTATAAGAATCAGGCTTTCATACACACTATGTATTCATTGGATAAAAATTTGTATAACTTACATTTATATACATGCTTGCATCTTCACCATAAAAAACTCCCCAACCATTGGGTATTGTTGGTGTGGAAGTTGCAGAAGATGTAGTTTTTAAGGGCCTTCCTCTACGTCTTTTTGGTTGGTTCGGATCAGTAGCTTTTCTCTGTGGCCGCCATCCTTCCTTGGTCTTCCTCGTGGTTTTGCCTACATACAAATAACAAGTAATAATAAAAACAAGTGATAATAACAAACTGCCACCAGTCTATATAACAAATATACATACGAACATAGGCTTCCTTCAATGTACTTAGCACAACATACTTAGCAACATAACATCATTTTTTAAAGTGAGTTCTAGCCACCAGTACTTTCTAAACAAATAGTAAGTGCTTACTGGAGGCTTTTGGAGTTGTGTGCCTGATATGTTTCCCTTTTGAGGGCATGTTCTTTTGTTATGGTTATTCCCCTTGCACGTGGTACAAGTCATTTGTACTCCATGCTTACTTAGCTTCCCTTTCTTATCAAATCTTTCATGTGCCTCCTTTCTCCTATGTTTCTTTGGCCTACCTGCACTAATCTTTACTGGTGGAGGACTTAAAGCATATTCTACCTTCTCCCAATGCCTTTCACCATTTATTGGTTTCACTGAAGTTTGATAGCTTTGTAGGTATTTAGCTTTCCTAAACCAGTCGAGGACAAAGTTTTCAGGAGGAACCCGAAGCCAATTGCAACATGAGATAACATGGAGGCATGGGATGCCAGTTAGATCCCACTTCCTACATGTGCATGTCTTTTCATTTAGATTCACACTGAACATATCCAGGTGACACATAACTTGAAACTCAAACGCACTAGCTTTCCTCGCATATTCCTTTTCAGTCTCTAGACATTTCCTTACTCTGGGACATATGCCATCATGTCTAGAGATCATAACAGACCTATTATCATATATCCTTTGCATAACTAGCAGCCTTATGTCCTCAAGCATGTGTATAACGGGTTTGGATCTTGCTTGAATGATATATCCATTAAATATCTCTGCCATATTGCTCACAATTACATCACTCTTGCTCAAGGTTCTCATGTAGCATCTACAGAATGTGGTTGGATTCTGTAATATGAAGTCCTCAACAGCCTTGTTACTTACACCTTTCATTTCCTCAAGCGCACTATCAAAGTCAGCTCTAGCATATGCTCTAACAGCTTTCCAGTACAAACACCATAGCTGCTCTCCCTTATGTTTTTTCAACCAATTTGCATATACTTCCTCCGTTCGGTTATAAGTGCAACATGCACTTGGGCACGAAAATTAAGACACCAAGTAAAGGTTTTGAACTTCACTATTTTACCCTTTGAAAGTACGAAAAGGCAGCCACAAAAAAGAAGTGCTACAGTAACCAACAGTGGAAAGAAGACAGCACGCCCTGGTGTTTTCACCTTCCCCCGCTTAGCCAGCTGCTCATCGGAACTCGGAAGACCCTTCTTGAATCTCGCCTAAACTCCGATAAGCAGCTCCCTCTCACCCCAGCGTGAAGCCAGCTCAACAACCCCCTCGTCCGCTTCCGCCAATCGTCATCCTACGTGAGCAATGATCCGACCATCGCAGCAGTCGGCCGCCGCCTAGAGGCAACCATTACCACCACGTCTCTTAGCTCTTGGGGGAGTAACAGCAACAAAATCAGTTTCATGTCCTTCCTTCCATTTCTTCCATTTCGGTCGTAATTAAAATCCGAATCAAAGAAAAGAAAAAAACGAGGGAGATGATGGGGGAAGAAACAGAGAAATAGCTGAGTTGGTGAAGATAGTCACAGATGAGGACATACACAAATGGAAGAAGAAGGTGGTGTAAAGAGGAATGGAATCAGTGGGTGGGTGGGTATTGGGTGGTGAGTAAAGAAATTAAATAAAATTTCAGAAAACGGAAGAGGTAGGCCGTAAATAATGAGGGGCATAGTATTCCTTTCGTTTAGTAGTTCTTTCCCAAAATAGAAAGGTTGCATTTATTTTGAAACTGCCTAAAAAGGAAAGTGTTGCACTTATTTAAGAACGGAGGAAGTATATGCCTAGCACAATTTCTATGTTCTGCAGCTGGAAAATGCTCTTTAACGGCATTACAGAGTCCCTTCTGTTTGTCAGAGCAAATGGTTGAGTTCTCATCACCAAACCCAGACAAATCACGTTTCAGAATGTCTAAGAACCAACTCCAAGAATCATTGTTTTCGGACTCCACCACTGCCCAAGCAACAGGGTACATTTGATTGTTTCCGTCTCTTCCAACCGCACACAGCAACATCCCACCCAAAAATGTCTTTAAAAAACATCCATCTAAACATAGCACAAATCTGCATCCACTTAGAAACCCATCTCTCAGTCCAGGAAAGCTCACATCAAGTCTCTTAAAAATATCTGGTTCTGTAGGAATATTTGGCTTATCAATGACTAATACAGAAGTCATATTAGGATCAACTCTCTTCATCTCCCTTAAGTATGAACCAAGTTTACTGTAATGTCCTTTTAATGTTCCATGTAACATCTCGTGGGCTCGTTTCCTTACATTGTAGCAAGCAAACCTTTGAATACGCACACCAAATCTTTCCATTACTGATTGTTGTAGAGCTTTCCTCGACCAGTTAGGATCTTTTCTGTACTCCTCCAAATACTCTTCAGCTAACCACCTTGGGTTAGCTTGTATATTCTCATAATCTTGTCTGTTACAAGTATGATTAGGATTCACAGACTTTACCACAAATGACTCTTTCAGTCCATCCCATGAAGCGTATATCCTCCAACCACACCCCTCTTTACAGTTCGCTGCAATCCTGACATTTTCACTCTTACTAAATTTAATACTATACCCTGCAATAACAGCATACCTCACTACCTGTTTCTTGAAGATTTCAGGTGAGGCAAACTTCATACCCACTTTCCATTTTAGCATTTTGAGTGTGGCATCATTATCAACTTTGTATGTAACACTTTCCTTGTTTGCCCCACTCTTACCTTCTTCATCACTTGCATATGGTGTAAGCAAATAATTTTCAGATTTATCACTATCATAAGATGCTTCCAACCCGTCCATCTGGGTATCTGTGACCATATTGAAATTGTAGGAAATAAGCTTTTTCCTACTACCAATCCATTCCTCATCACTTGAAGACCCACCATTACCAATATCCTCCCTTTCAACATTTTCGAAGTCACTCTCTTCACTCCGTGAGCCATCTTCCACGAAATGGGCCACTTCCATGGTACAATACAGTTTTAACCCTAATCTATCAACCACACTGTAAATACTTAGCACAGTAATCAACTTACAGTGAACCGCAAACTTGATACGCCGGCTTGTGTTTTTTAGTTGGGATATGCATCGTCTTCTCCGTTTTCTGTAATCTCAAAAGCTTGCAAGTTGGAAGTTCTCTAGATGAGGGTTTTGAATCCACGGAGCCTTTCCAGATTTAGGAAGTACAGTCAGATATTACTTTGCCAAATAGAAACAAAGAATGGTCAACGTGGAAAACTTATGCCAACTGGACTGGTTCTTTGGATCATTACAAAAATTTAGGGTGCAGGCATCTCAAATTGAAATAGTGGAGGTATTTGTTTAAACAAGACAAGTATAAGGTAGGGAGTTCACACTTAATGAAAGTTCAGGGTATTTTTAAATTTCATGCATGAACTTTTTTAAAATCTGTAATTACTTCAACTGTTTTTATTTTCTCTATAATCCATTTAAGAAAGTTTATTCATACGTCACTTTCAGTTTTTGGCAACTATTGTAGTCTCAAAAGACATAAATATCCTCACCTTTTTAGCAAAGGCCAAGGCTTGTCCCTTGTACACCGTTGTGGTGGCACCTTTCCCTGGACATAAATATCCTTACCTTGCGGGGATGCCTTTGTGCACCGGGCTGCCCTTTATTCTACCTTTGTATCTACTTTCTCTTACTCTTTTTCATTTTTATCTACACTATTAACTACCCTACACTTTCAAAGTTCATGTTTGGTGAGATTTTTGGTTCAATTAAGGTTTTGTGAATTCACGTCATTACTTCCATTCCTGTTTGATAACATAACCTTTTCCTTTTTTGTATTTTTTCTTGTGAATAGACAATCACTTTGTTTTATATTTGGTGCCTGTAGTTGGTTTTTACTGAAATCTTGTAGTTAGTATCATGCTGAGCAGAAAACACGGAGTGATTTAACTATACATTTCATACTGATGTACTTTCATCTTAACCTTAAGGAAAAGCTGCATCTAGTTTTTAGATGTGATGTATTGATATGTATATTTGAATGGAAATTTTTGTTTTGAAATAGAAATAAGCCACCTTTACTTTTGACAAACGGTGAACAATTCAATGTTGGATACAACAACAACTAATTCAATGTTGGATGGGAGAAAAAAAATTCACAACCTTATAGTGATTGGGGAAATAATTTAATAGACGATAGCATTTGCTATACTATTCTAGTTATTTATTCTATATCTGTACATGGTTCCAATTCCACCATATGTAAAACTTCTACTTTCAGCACAGAAAGATAGTGGCAGAGTGATGCTTTACACCGCGTCATTTTTTGCTTGACTGCATCACTGAAGATCAACCAAAGAAGAGTAAGAGCATGTCTGAGATGCCTTATCAAGTGCTTATTAAAAAATGCTGTAGTTGTTAACTGAGAAATAACTTTATATCAATGCACTTAAACCATAAGGTATCCATACAGGCTCTAAAGTAGTGATTATTATAGATTTGAAGAATGAAAATCAGTTCTAACTTCTAAAAAGAAATAGGTGCAAGGCAGATAGGGCATAGTGTCTAGGCGAGGCTTAGGCGGGGTTAACTGGGGTAATTTTAAAAAACACCCAAACATACACACACAGAGTCTTCCAAGTAGAAGTCTAGAGCTTACTAGTCTATCCATGGATTTTCTGAACAGAGTTGAAAATATATGATGTCTAAAAATGTAAAGGAAGTAGGGAGTGTTCTTTGAACAGAATTGTTTGTGTTTATCTGATTTACAATCCCTTGTGTCACTGCTTTAATATGTTTGTCCATCCCTTTTCTGCTCGGTGCATATATTCAATTTATCAGCACTTTAACATTTTGTCATTTGATACCTTAAAACGCTGAAAATCCTCTATTATTTATAATGAGTGAACTGCTGAAAATAAATTAATAATGATCTTCCGCAGATGTGAATCTGTTCTTCAACCAGGCTACAATTGTACTATTCGAGTTGAGAAGAGCAACCCAAAGGCTCGTCACAGGAGCAAGACATCCAGATGCAGCCCACAGAATCATGTGGTGTACACGTGCCATTTTTGTTCACACCGGAACCTAAAGAGAGGAACCCCAAAAGGCCATATGAAAGAAATATGCCCACAAAAGCCCAAGCCCTTAACCCATAAAAAGTCATCTGAATCAAAGACTGTCACTTCAAGTAATGGCGATCATGATATTATGCTAGGCGGGTCTGTTGAAACGGCAGGTGATCCTTCGACGCCTTCATCGATGAGAGTGGACATCACTTTAGTGGACTCGAAGAGAAAGAGAAGGAACTGGTCAGGGGGATTAAAGAAAAAGCCTGTTAGATCTGAATGTGCCTCTACCACCATGACTACTACTACTACTACAACTACGGATGGTAATCATAAAACCACTATTGACACAGGTGGTAGCAAGAGAAAGAGAAAATCTTGGACTAGTTTGAAGCACATTGCTGAAAGTAATGAACATGATGGTCATAGTAGGAAGTTCTCAAATGTGGTAGTCCCTTTTTTTGTGTGAGTTCAAATTATTTGTTCATGCTTGTTGTTAAACTTCATAGTGTGAAACTTGTGATTCGAAAGTTTTGTTGTTGCTGTTGTTAGTCATTTGATGCACTGTTTCATTTACTTAGTTGTGGTTCTCACAAATTCAGGTTAAAATACCTAAAAAGTGAACAAGTAAGAAGGTGATATTTCACCACTGCAGACTGTATAAGAATTTAAGATGAGTAGTGAAATGTTAATTTGAGACTTTGAATGAGTGGTCGGAATTCGGAAATAATCTTGGCTCAAATAGGATTGAGGTTGTGCTGGGAAAAGATCTACTATGACGTGTACAGTTGTACAGGTCATCGTTAGTTTCGAGAGTTCTTTTGACGTTAGTTTCTAGGTATTTCGAGAGTTCTTTTGATGTTAGTTTCTTATTTTTATAAAGGTTCTATTATTTTCTGCTCGGTGCATATATTCAATTTATCAGCACTTTGACAATTTTTCATTTGATACCTTTAAACGTTGAAAATCCTCTATTATTTATGAGTGAACTGCTGAAAATAAAATTATAATGATCTTCCGCGGATGCGGAAATTGAATATATGGACCGAGCATAAAAGGGATGGAGATTGGAGAAACCTCGCCTAGACACTATGCCATATCTGCCTCCCCCACATATTAAACTATTAAAGCAGTGACACAACGTCATTCTTAGGCTAATCCCAACCCGCATTTGCCCTATCTTGCAAAGTTGTTTTTAATTTAAGTCTTATTTTTATTATTATACATCATTTTTTATCAATTTTTTTAGGATAATTAAGATTGAAAAGAATCAAACATTTTGATGTAAAAGTAAATAAATTTGGAACTAATTTTATGTTTTATTTTTATTTCAGACCCATTTTTGAAAAAAAATAAGCGAAAGATAGTAAAAAAAATATTAATCACGAATCTTAATTTTAGCACTTGAATATATTTAAGAAAAAAATTGAGTCCGAAAATCTCAAATGGTTGAATATATTTAAGAAAAAAATTGAGTCCGAAAATCTCAAATGGTTGCAATTATATATATACACACACAGCCACACAGGGGAGGGTTCTAGTGAGAACTCCTTTAAAAATGAGAACCCAAATTTGAGTTAGTTTCCGGTGGTATTTTTGGCTAATTTTTTTTGTGTATGTTCCTCATCAAGTTTGGTTCATCCATACAAAATTTGAGCAAAAAATTCAATCGGTAAGGTCGTCAAATGATTTTTGAAAGATAACTGGTCCGGAATATACATATAAAACACAGCTATCTTTCAAAAATCATTTGACGACCTTCACGATTGAAGTTTTTGCTCAAATTCAGGATGGATGAACTAGACTTGGTGAGGAACATACAAAAACAAAATCAGCCAAAAATACCACGGGAACCACCTCAAATTTGGGTTCTCATTTTAAGAGGAGTTCTCACTAGAACCCTCCCCATATATATATATATATATATATATATATATATATATATATATATATATATATATATATATATATATATATATATATATATATATATATATATATATATATATATATATATATATATGTGTGTGTGTGTGTGTGTGTGTGTGTGTGTGTGTGTGTGTGTGTATGTACATATATATATATATGTACAAATATTATATATATGTACATATATATGTACATATATATATATACATATATATATACATATATATATATATACATATATATATATACATATATATATACTGTAACACCCACATTTTCCCCAACCAAAAATACATTTAAATAATGATTTATTCAAAGGAATTATCAACTTTATTTGAAAACATCAGAGATACAGCGGAAGTCTTAATAGAGAAATGGGTGTTACCGCCACACTCGGTTCTCACATAACCGAATGCACAGGCTAAACCACCATCCAAAAATAATCCAAGTATTTAAGTACTGAAATTTTCAAAAATAATTTAAATGTCTACATGTTCTCAAACTGAAATAAACAATAACTAGGTGATTATAAATACTAAACTACGTGATCTAACGCAGCTCTCATCATCATGCATAACCTTCATCACCTGCACAATTAAAGTGCAGAAAACAAACCAAAGAAAAGGAAACAAAAATTAGCTTTTAAGCTAAGTAAGGCCCACCCAACCCCGTAAAATAATCACGTTTGGCGAAAATAGTTTTTCATATAATACTATATAAAAATGACGCACACCACCAAAATTCTTTTCTCTTTGATTTTTCTTAAAATCACTTCTTTGCTAAAATCTTCAACTTCTCTTGGAAAATATCATAGTAATTCTTCTCTTTTGATTTCTTAAGAAAATCACTTATTCTCTAACTTCCTAGTAATTTAGAAGGGCGGTGCTCAACCTTTCAACTGAGCCCGGTGGACCGTGGTTACGGACGGCCACCCCGAACAAGTGCCGGTACCACAACTGCTCTTGCGGAAACGAAACGACTACCTTAAGTGTGCACACCCCTTAAAAGGGATTCCAAGCCCTCCGAGTAGTAAGTCATCCCGAGTGGTCGGAACCCAACCACCCCACCTCTAAAATTCTTGAATGATTAGGGACTACTACTATAACTTCTTAAAATGGATCATAGATCCAAATGTCACTTGAAACTTAAACTGTACTTCTTAGTAGTAGTAGCTCTAATCACCCTCCACATTTATCCGGATGTGGAAAACCGACACCTCGGATTACTCCCGAGATGCTCACTTCTTATGAAAATGTAAATTTTATCTTCGCTTAACAATACTTCAAAAATACTTCTTAATTTCTCTAAAAAGGCTCGAAGGTATTTAAAAATATTTAATACCCCAAAAGTACTTGATTCATATTTCTTAACTACCATATATATAATATCTCCTCAAAATCACATACACAAAATTCACAATTCACACTTAATCACATAATGCATAATAAGCATATAATACGAGGAAACAATTTTGGATTGGCAGAGAAACTTACAATTTAGGATTTATCCAAAACTAGTTCCAAAATAGTATTTAATACCATATTCAAAATAATCCAATAAGGATATTTATAACTCCAGAATATATATGTAAAATTTAATACCAAATTATTCATTTAAAAATATATAATTTATCCCAAAAGATTTGATCTCACAACACTTTCCAAAATGAGGGTTTAACCCAAACAACCACTTCCAAAATTATACCTCCTCCTTTCCATACAAATATTCTCCTGCCTTTATTGTACTTTCATATAAAGGTTTCCATTTCTATTTTTGAAAACAATTAACATTGTTAAATGAGAATTGAATAATCAAATAATAAAAACTCAAAGTATTTCCCTTTTTTTTAAACCCTTCCCCTAGTCGGAACTCCCACTTCCGACTCCCCTTTTTGGAAACCCTAGAAAATTTCCGGTATATTAGGAAATCAAAGGTCTGATTGGAATAGCATAATCCCACTACGTTTAAAAAATAAAAGAGAAATTGGCTGTAAATGGGAGTAACGAAAACCGAATAAGCTCACGTAGGAGTGCATTTGTTCCTGATCCAAAATAGGACCAATTTTTAGTATTATTCCTATTTTGCCCTTAATTGTTCGCTCAACTCATGCCCTCAAACCCCACATCTCTCATACAGTTTCCTCCACCCATTTCTCAAAACCCAACAGTGCGGCATCTTTGTTTTTAAACTTTACATATGCAATATTGATGCTATATTAAAATTTTTAAAAAGTTATGAATTTTGATATATTTTTTTTAAGAATTTGATTACAAATAAAAAAGTTAAAACATTTTAAAGAAAAATGGAATTTTATTTTATACCTAACCCCCGCCCTACCTCTCTAACCAACTACCCATGCCTCATTCGGAATTTGCATTTCCAAATCCAGTATTTTGGTACCCCTAAGGTGGACTCCCGTAATTTTGCATTCAATGTTGAAAACTCCCGTTATTTGAGAATTTTCTCTTAAAAGAGAATATCATATCATGAAAAGTTTCTTTTTTTAATCAGAGGAAAATAAGAGAAAGACGGTAGTCTATTTATATATAAGAAAACAAATAGCTCATTTAATTACAATAATGCCCCTATATTCTAACGTGGCATGCTCTCCTTAATTCATGCTCTGTTTTATTATAATGCCACGTGTCTTCATTTTCAATGACGAAAGTTGCTAACAGCAACGTATGGATAGAGCAGAGAAAATTTCGATCTTGTAAACCCATGAAAATAACTTTTACATTTCTACTTTGATTCTTTCAAAACCTATTTTTTAATTCATAATTTTTTATTATCTTTCATGACACTAATATAGCATATCTATTTGTATATAAGAAAACAATAGGCCTATTAAAATTCCATTTTGCCCCAACTAATGCAATGTGTCCACCTCTCAGAACCTTTTGGTAAGAATTGACTGAATAGGTTGATTCTGCTAAAATTTATAAAGTTCTGGTTAAAATGGTTGATTTGGCTGATTATGATCAATTATGAAAAAATTATATTTAATTTTTTTATTAATGAGATAAAGAAAAATTATATAAAAATAGTTTAAATGATTCTCTACAAAAATTTCAGTCAATACGGTCATAAAATTACGTATTTCGTGAAAAAACTTATTGATAATCCTGATAAGTAGAAAATCATGGTTACAAATAGGTTCTCAATATTTCACAACATTCCTTTAATTATGCCACGTGGCTTCATCTTTTTTTTAAAAATAATCTACTAACATCAAAATATCACTCTCCATGTACACCTTTTATATGTCAATAAAACTTCAGCGTTATTATTGCCTTATTATTCGGACATCATTTTTTTTGGCACGACGGAAACAACCCAAACACAAAGATGATATCCTCTCTATCATAATTTTGGCTAGAAACTTTCAACAATTTTATTGTAATCACTTTATAATCATTAGCTACTCCTATATAATCACTATAAATTGGTGCTTAAATACACCTCAAATAGTAAATTTAAAATATTGAGGGAGTAAACTTTAATTTTAAATACATCTCAAATAGTAAAATGTAGTAAACTTTTAAATACATAATATATATTTTGATAATAATTATGTGTAGATCATGATACGCAATTGCATACTTCTAATACTCAATTGTGATACTAATACATTGATTTAATATCAGTACTCTTTTTTCAACGTTATACTTATCAAGCATAACATAAAATATTTATCTTTACAGTGTGCATTGTACAACTGGGTGTACAGGTGTACAGTGTATGCTCTTATAAGATAAGCGGACTAATAATTGTGCGGATCATTCTTTCTCTCTCTCT